CATGAAGTTAAATATATGATTTTTATCAAATTCCATAACCACTTTCGTGGTCAAATCTCATTTTTATTCAAAACCTAAGTTTTCATCTAAACCGTTGATTTCACCAATTTTTATATGTTAATCTACCCATAATCTATGTATTTAACTTATGTTGTGTAGAAATTACTTACCTCAAAGTTCTAGGTAAAAACCTCCTTCCAAGAGCTCCAAAAATCGCCCAAGAGATGAAAGATAATGAGCTAAATGGCCTAAGTGCCGCATTTAATAAAGTTGTGTACAGGTCGCAGATATCACATTTGCGACACCTGGTTCACAAATGCGAAGGCTGGCCATCTCTACCATGGTCGCAAATGCGACTAAAAACTCCGCAAATGCGAAGAGGGCCAGTTCGCAAAAGCGGCAGGGTCTTCGCATATGCGGCAGGGTCTTCGCATATGCGAAACCCTCAGAGCCTTCCCAACTTCGTAAATGCGAATGGCTATTCGCAAATGCGTGCTCGCAAATGCGATCAAAACTTCGCATTTGCGAGATCTGCAACTCCAGCCCAGAAACACCAGAAAACTAGAGCTTTTCATCATCCTTCCGAACGTCCAAAACTCACCCGAGCCCTCGGGACTCCGCACCAAACCTCCTCACAAGTCTAAAAATATCACACGAACTCGCTCGCGCGATCGAAACACTGAAATAACATAAAAATCATGAATCAGACGCCAAAACGCATGGATAACTCATGAACTCAAAAATTTCTAAAAATACCCCCGGACGTCCGATTCCTATCAAATTAACTCAGAGTGACGCCAAATTTTGCGTGCAAGTCTTAAATAATATTACGTAACTATTCCAGGTCTCGGAATCCCATTTGGACCTCGATATCACCAAAACCTACTCCAAACCAAATTTAAAGAACTTTAAAAACCTTCAAGGAAAACCCTTGAAGGAACCAACTTTCACTATTAGGCAACCCGATCCGAGCATACGCCCAAGTCCGAAATCATCATACGAACCTATTGGAACTATCAAATCCCGATTCCGAGGTCATTTGCTCAAAATGTTGACCGAAGTTAAACTTAGCCTTTTTAGCCAACCTTAAGGAACCAAGTGTTTCAATTTCAATCCGAACCCTTCCAAATCCCGAACTAACCATTCCCGTAAGTTATAAAACAGTAAAAGCATATACGGGGAGTCTTATTTAGGGAAACAAGATTCTAAAAAGTAAAATGACTGATCGGGTCATTACAAAGCCGAATATTTGCCACTTTAAAAAAGTATTTTCAAACTAATGTCACATCTTCTGCTTCGAATATGGCAGGTACTAAAGGTGTTGCTTTAGAAAATTCACCTTACTTAGTACGTAAGGATACTTATTGCACATGAAGTCTCTCAATCCTTGACTATTGCTAATGGGATTTAGAAAGTCCCAAGCTGGTTTTTAATAGCAACTTAGCATTCCATACAGTGGTGAAGCCAGGACTTTCACGAAGAGTGTTCAAAGTTTAATACTCTCTCTGTTCCAATTTGTGTGAATCTGTTTGATTTGGCACGAAATTTAAGAAAAAATGAAGACTTTTGGAATTTGTGGTCCTAAACAAGTCAAAATGTGGCCCAGAGTATTTGTGTGGTTATAAAAGCTTCTCATTAAAGGTAGAATTGGAAATTTAAGCTAAACTATTTTCAAATTTAGAAAGGGGTCATTCTTTTTGGAACGGAACAAAAAGGAAATAGGTTCACATAAACTGGAACGGAGGGAGTATATATGTTTAAAAAATAATTTTTACATATATATCGTATAATTTTCTATATGGTATAGTATAACTTTTCGATAAAGAATATTCAAGTGAACACCCTTCACACTATGTGGCTATACCACTGATTCCATGGTCTGCCAGATTACAATATATGTCTTTTTATAAAGATAGGTCATCACTTCTTCTCCAAAAACCACTTGTCATAACTCCTCTGTGCTCCAATCTTGAAATTATGCACATCTATACGTACAAGAAATGCACGTAGACATACACGAACCGTTTAATGTTCCATCTTTTGATTGATCAATGTATTTAATCATTTTTTTTATGATTGTGCAAGTATATAAATGTTAAACACTTTAGTTTGGACTTTGAATGCATTCATTAGTTATTGATTTCATGTAAGTAGCACTTTCTGTTATTGCACCGTCTTACTCGAATTATCGCTACATTACTTGCCTTAGCTAATTGGAGATAGTTGCAGATAGGACGAAGGACAAGTTGCATGAGAAAGAGAAAGAGAACGATTTTCTAGGAACATGCATGGGTCTTTGACGAAGATATGGACGACTCTCTAAAGTAGGCTTTAACTTTAAAGTTTTTTCTTTATAAGCTTTGTTCTATGTCTTTGGGCTTTAAAACTTATAATATACATTAAAGGAAACTTTTTATTGGAACTAAAACATGCTTGGACACCACTAAGCTGTGGATGAACAGTGAGTTGTGCAACATTATGGATATAGAATAGTGAATAAAAAACACGTTCTCGACACTGTTTGAAAATTTCAATGTTTGATACATTACAAATGTGACTAATTGGCATATCTCAGGAGTCCAGTGGCGAAGCAATAAAAGTGTTCAAAATATGAACACTCTTTGCCAATAGGCTATACAATGATGCTCAAAGTCTCTTTTTTGATTAATAACAAGTAATATTTATCCTATACACATTATAATTTTTCGGTGAAGGGTGGTCAACACATAGCTTCGTCCTCGGTCAGGACGACTGGAACCGGGGCAGAGGTGGTATCTGTATTGGTCAAAATCTGACCGCTGCGGTTGACCCAACCGAGATCCCGTCCAAGCGGCAAGACAGTGGAAGACGACACGATTTGCTCCAAACCCCGTGCTCACAATACCCGACAAGTCAAAAAACAATACTCAGGGAACAACGAAAGCAGACGTGGTATGAAAGTGTACTGACCCGAGATCATAGTAAAGATTCCATAACTATATATAGGGAGGGAACCTTCCTAGGAAAGGGGCTGCTTCTCTTTCTCTTTCCTCTCCTCTGTAATCTTCTTAGTAAAAAGAAGACAAAGCAATCTTCCATGGAAGATGTAAAACAGTTATTTCCACCGATTAGTGAGAGGAGAAATGAAAAATATCAATAAGATTGGCCGCCCCTATTTTGTCTTATGCATTATTTTCTGATTTGCTTATATATCTGGAGTTTATTATGTTTGACTAAGATTTACCTCATCATCTTCTTTAATTGATTTAATCAAAAAGGTTTAAATATCTTTTGGGTCAAACATTATCCACGTAATGGGTAGCACAGGCTATAGTTTCAAGTGCATGTGTTGTTTGCCGTAGTTTCTTAGATAGTTAGAAAAGTGGGCGAAAAAGGAGCAAATACACGAAGAGCTTAAGTCGTGCAGGTATGACTGAACGAATCGAAAATTAGACGAATTGAAGGGAGAAGAGAGAGTTTGAGACTTTGAGCTATGAATGAAGAGAGAATCTTCAATTTCTTGCCTCAAAGTTTCGCATACTCTTCTTATGAGGTGTTCGGATGCCATAAGTTGATTTTTTGTAGAATGAGAAGGAAGGAGGGGAAAAAAGTTAAAGTTTCCCCAAAGCTAAACAAACCTTATAAATACATACCAACGCCCAACTTTTCCTTCTTGATCTAGTTTTATTCTTTTCTTTTCTGCCTTTTCCTAGCCAAAAAGATTTTTTCATGTTTTCATCACCAACAACAGAGAAGAGGGTTTTAATCTTGAAGTCTTCAAATGGTGACGATTTTGAACTTGAAGAATCCATAGCCATTGAGTCCATAACAATCAAGAACATGGTAGAAGACGATTTTTCTACTAACATCTTCCACTCCAGAATGTTAACAGTAAAACACTAGTCAAAATCATCAAATACCTCAAGAAGTATGCAGAGGTCTCGGTTTCAAACGAAGAACAACAAGTCAAAAACTACGATAAGGAATTAGTGAAAACTAGCTTATAATCAATCTTTAAAATTGTATTGGCTACAAATTACCTTGAAATTAAAAGTTTGCTTGAGCTTTGTACTCATGCAGTTGCTGATAGGATCAAGAACAAGTCGCCTAAGGCTATATGTAAGATATTCAATGATATCACATGTTATTTTACCCCAGAAGAAGAGGCAACAATTCACAAAGAATTTGCATGGGCCTTTTGAAGGAGAAATAGATGCCTCTCTTGCGTACTCAAGACTTCTCTTTGGGGTTTTCATTTTAAGACATCTTGTTTCTTCTTTATTTTTCATTATGTTTACAGTCCTACGCAGGTACGGACACACCCTTAGATCGCTTGGTCCAGAATTTTACTAAATATAAATATAGAGAGATGAAATTATTGGGTATAAATATAGAAAACGACACCGATTATCATTATAGTGATTTATTCTTTTGTTTATTTCTTCAAACATTGACAATGCTTGTGAAAAATTCTGCCTACTCCACTGGTCCTACGAAGTCTATTAGGGGTTTAAATATGGATGTTGAATATATATGTATATTTTTTGAATTTTAAACAATGAATGCAAGTTATAGTTACAATATCTAAATTATTAATTAATACCTTATCATAAAGATATGTCTATTTTTCTTTACCCAAGCGGCGCAAACTTTTTTTAGAATTGAAACTCGCATGAGCTTATGACGTTTAATTATTTACTTTTTTCATTTAAAAACAGTGTGCTGTAATTGTGGAAATGAATTTTCGTTCGCTACAAAATTAATATGTTCAAACAAGTCGCCATATATATAGCTAATGAAAACGGCAAGATCAACGTAGAACATGATGAACATATTTTTTTTTTCGGGATAAGGTAGAACATTTTGTACATTGATCCCTCATGGATTACTTACTTTTTGTTTGTGACTTGGGACCAAGTGTTAAACAGTGTTTATAGCTAGGATATTCCATTATTATTTCCACATGTTCCGGAAAACAACCTCTAATGCAAGGTAAGGTTGCGTACAATAAATACTTGTGATAGAGCTTAATGCACCAGGCTGCCATTTATATCGATTAATGTTCTGAAAAATATAGATAGAAAAAAACAAATAAATCCACCATCTTGTTCTTACGTTGCTCGAAAGAACCAAACATAATATAGGTAACAGAAAACTCCAATCTTAGAAATAGGACTGCTGCCACTCGAAGCACACAGAGGGCGTTCTAAGCCTACACCACAATAAAGATAACACAGTTGTGTTCGTACAAACCCGTGTAGAAAAAATGTTGACAAATGGCCACGAGAGAAATATCTTAGGAACGGGAAGTCCACTCAATCTTCTCATGTCACATATAATTCAGCAGTAAAACTATGCATCCCTATCACACAAGCAGCAGAGATTTCCCGGAGATGATCGACCAAAAAAAACGTAGCAAGTCAACCCAATTTTTCCACAAATGTTTCTGTCAATGTGCTTCCATTGACAATTTTTGTAGTTGCTACAATTATGTCATATGCCATCCCTTCCTGTAACAGCATAACTAGCATTAGCACAAATGGAATTCATTGAAGAGGTTGAGAATGATAAATAAGAGGAAGCAGGGGATCAGCAACGAGACCAAGTGACTGATTTAACGAATGCAGTTATTACAGCATTTAGAATTGGAGCACTGGTCGAAAATCATGCATTGAATATCAGAATACTCTAAATTTATCCTTTTTAATTTTTTGGTTCCTTTTCCATAGCATGTTTCCACAGGAGCAATCTCCAATACCATCTGAGATACTTTGAATACGACAATAAATTTACATGATTACAGGTCATCAAAAATAAATTTACATGATTACAACTTATCAGACTGACCTGGCCGCTCAGGAAACGAAGAGCAGAGATCTCTGCAGATGTCACTCCGCCAATGAAAACAACAAGAATCAAAGAACGCCTTCCATCAACAACTCTGGAACATCATCAATGGTATTAGAAGGTTTAATACTGGCCAGAGATGATAAAAGAAATTTTCAGCTTGATGCTTGCATGAATTAGCATAATGAAATATAAGGTCCAGCAGCATTTCAAATGCTTCCTCAATCAAATAAAGATAAGAGCAAAGACAGAATACAATAAGGTGCAGCAAATGCAACAAAACAACATGACATAGGCAGCCATCACTTGGGTGTCCATCTCTGCGTATATCATCCCATTCATGGTACAACCATAAATTTCCACTTAGAGCAAGCCCTGTCAGAGACTTTGCAGACAACTGATTTCCAGGTAACTTGAACCTATACAGTTATATTTCCCGAACAAGACCACAGCACCAGGTCCCACCTTCATTTCCTTATTTCATTCTCATCTAAATTCAAACATGATTTACACGACCTCTTGTCAATATCACCCCTAAAATTCACAACCAAACATATCTCTCCACTTATGTGCTTTTTCAGTCTGATCACACTATACAGGTCCCACCTTCATTTACCTCGCTTCAATTTCATCCAATTAGAAAACATTATTCATACTATCTCTTATCAATATAACCTTAAGTTTACAACCAAACAGAGTTCTCTCCACGTATTGGCTTTTCTGAGCTAACTTATGATGGTAAGCATGCATCTAAAAACTTCATTTACTTTATTGTCAGTGCTTTATAAGCCAGGGAATGTTACAGAGCCAGTAAGTGGATGCTCTTTAATACATACTTGTCCGAGCCATGCAAAGACCCGTTTAATGTGTCCAATGACGGACTGCTGGAAAATCCACCCTGTGGAGAAACAAGCAAAAACAACAGATTAAGAGTTGTATGCCATGATAATATGATCAAAAGATGGAAAAATCCATGTGAAGAACAAAATATAAACAGAAAGCTAAAGCTTACCCTCTTAATATCTGAGTGTGGACCTGGCAGCAGCTTCAATATTTCTTCAATCGGCCGCCTGAATATAAAATTTTCCAGATGTCATAAATAGTGGGACTGAGATTAAGAAATTAGCTCTTGGCTCCAAACTACATTTGTTGAGATTGGGGAGTTATCCACCCACATGGGGGACAGTGGAGGAAGGAAATCAATTACTGAAACATTGGTAAGATTTCTAACTGCAAAGAGGAATTAGTGAACTTTTCTTGCAGAAGACTTAATTCCATGACAACTTCTCAATGTAATGAAGGCCAACTCTAGGTTTATATATAGAATAGAAGTATCTTCTTCCAGTAAATCACAAGGAGATCTAATCAAAATCATCAAAGCAGCCAGATTCACAATCAAACCACAGTTTATTTGAATTAGGAATGTTCAGATAGGCGACATAGCACAGCAAATCTCTTAAGAACAAAAACTCACCACCCAGATCGAATTGCATGTTGAACCAGGCGAATACTGAGAGGTGCATACCCAGAGAAGACATAGGAGATATCGTTGGGACTGTATTTGTCAGAGATCAAATTTAAAGTTAACAATGATTGCAATGGTAAGATAGTGATGATAATGACAGCTGTGCAAGAACCTGTTTTAAATACATAGCCACATTGTTCAAGTTTCAAGGGAGGGAAGCGAGATGAATTTTTTATCAAGCTCAAAAAAATATCATACTTAGCAGTATCAATATCCTCCACTACGAGCTGCAGAGCACGTTTAATTGTTACCCAATTGCTTTTAGTCTCCTGCAATGATGAGGTAAGTTAATAGAGAGAACAATGCTGACAAATTTAACAAGCAATATAGTTGATGAAAACTCATGAAGGAACCTGTTTCTTAAGCAATCCAGACTTCTCCAAATTATTCAAGGTTGCTATATGCTCAAAACCATAGCTGTGAAGCAGTTCTCGCCTAATCAAAAGAGATGAAGTTGAAGACATCAGTTAGAGGTTCGCGTGGTGATACCTAAAACATGGAAGCCATGTCAAGTATAAATAAAACAGCTATTGCTAGAGTTGACTCGCCTCAAATAGTCAAAGTTTTTCTTGGGCAACCCTGAATTTGTTATTGAGAACAGGACAAGAAGACGTAGAACATTGATAAGTGGCTCTTGCTTATGGATCATTTCCTCAATGTACTCAAAGCATCTGCATTTACCCAGTGACCAAAAAGTAAACAAATAGAAAATGAAGACAATCACCCCAGAAGAAAGGAAAATGGTAGAACACAACCAAGACCCCCTCCCACCCCCTCTCTCGCACCTCCAGCCCATATCACCTCTTTCTGCTCATCCTTTCCTCCAATGGTCTACAATTGCTTGAAAAGCAACCCGACAATGAAATCAAAAATTAAAAGAATTTAATAGTAACAGTAATGTTTCTGATTAATTCTGTAAATGGCAAGAAAACTGTTGATTTAAGTGCAAGACTAGTTGATGGTATTGCAGGCATTTTTCTCTAAGTAGTTAGTGTGGAGACTGGCATTTTTGAGAAGGATATCTTCATTTTCTTTAGGTTGGTTCAGTATGGACTGGCCAAGAATGCTATGCATCTCCAGATTGAATAAGCATTTTCCTTACTACACAATAAAAAGAAAAAAAAAAAGAGAGAAGAAAGAAAGAGTGAGAACTGAAGGACACCCTTGTTCACAAGCACAAATAATCTATTACATGGCAATGCAAAGAATTTGTTCTAGGAACAAAAACTGGACTTGAATTTACAATTGTCCAATATTTGAAGCCAAGCACTCCATGTAACAGAGCTTTCGAGTACCCATTGAATATTATAACAGAGAACTGAAAGGTTGAAATGGTATAAGACTACCAGAGTAAATACAAATAGCAGAATGAAAAGTTCAACTTTACTCACATATCATAGCTTTCAGCCTCAACAAGAGTTTGCTCCATATCAAGTCGGCCAAGGAATGAAGGTTTGGATGTAAATGTAGTTAAATGCTGAGCAAGATTTATGTGTCTCTGGAACAGAAAACCAATAGTATTATAACACTGCTAATGTCATTAAAGTAGTTGTATAATCAAACAGTAGAAAAGAACTCTTACAGTCATTTCTGGCAATGAGTTCAGCTTTTTGACAAAATCCTTCAATTCGGAGACTGTCTGGGTCTATATGTAATACACAACGTAACATAAAAGTCAATTATTGAACAAGCACCTAAGACCTTTAGGAGTTAAACGGAAATGAATCACTAGATTTCAGTTTCTTTTTTCTTTTTCAGGAACCACAAATTAAGCATCTCACTGAGGTGGTCCAGAACTATATATATATTGCTCCAGACTGCTATTCTATTTTATTGCACAAGCAAAAGATGATCAGATAACTACTACAAAAGTCAAATCATGTAACAAGGGCAAGGCTAAGACATGCACTTGTAAGATCTCTGACTAACCGTAGTCTGCATCTCTGAGTAATCTTGCTTCATGGAAGTTGCTTTTTGACGTAGAACCTGCAATTGTACTGCAAATGACAATTAAAGAAACAGAAGACCAAGGAAGAAGACGTGCGAGTTGACTGTTATGATAGAGCATGATAGATTGATAGGTATGCTGAAGACGCCTAGAATTTGTTAAAACTTAGAAGATGGCGAGAAAATAAATCAACCTGGACAACAACTTCAAAGTTCTGGTCCCGTATCTCTTTGAACAACTTGTCACTACAAAGGCAATGAATTAATATTTCAAACAGAGAAATAAAACGTCTAAGGCACGGAGAAAACGTCAAAATAAGACAACTCTTTTTTTCTTTTAAAAAGAGACAAAAAATAGTAGATGTGTATTTCCCAGTGGTCACATCTGACTATACATTGGCATGACAAAGACCTGGAATCCATATGAGAGAATACCATATAACAGAAGAAATTGCATGCATGAGAATCAAGGGCATTATCATGTAGCACATAAAAGAAGCATGAGGTAGATCACTAGGAAATCACACAAGAATTTATTGTGCNCAAGAAACTGCATGAAGCCTATTAGAGATAGCTTTTAAAATTCTCACAGCATATAGTCTGTTTAATGTTCTATAAGCAGCAGACATATTATACAACCATTAACTGCTGCCTAAACGGTTTCCTAAAGATATAGATCCATAGCAATCCTAAGAACATCACTTTTACCTCATCCAGCAGCCCTTCATATGTTAACTGCGAACACATTGGAGTTATCATATCCACCTGCACAATCCCAGGAAAGTCTTACAACCACAGTGACAAATGGACATAAAGGCCAAAAGAATAGTGTCCCAAACAACTAAAGATACACTAACTATAGTATTTCCACAACTATGAAGGTTCAAAAAAATAAATAAAACTCAAGCGCCAGAGCACTTAACTGACCGTGAGGATCAGAGACAAAAGGAGTAAAACTTTATGAACTAGCAAGATTAGACCTGAAGAATGCTCAACTATTTGTACACTAGACAAATAAAAGAGAATGCTTTTTTCCAATTCTTAAATCCTGAAGTTTCAGGCTTTAGCCAAAGTCGGAATTCAGAAATAAAAAAGTTCCTCAATTTTCCACTCAAGCAAGCTGAAAGACTATGATAAGATGTTCCCCTTCCCAGCATTTTTTATCTTCAAAGGAGAAAATTGAGATCATGAATCAACGGATCAGTGCAAGAAAAGGTACTCAATTTTAAAAGATTTCCTTCATTACCTCATGCTTTGAACTGTGTCATTAGAACAGACCAACTACTTTTGGACATGATACCATTCAGAAAAGCCAAACCCCTTTCCTCTCACCTTTGTTTTATGAGAAAACTGAGTCTCACTCTCTCATTATCCCAATAGAATGGCAATAAACACCTACTCCAAACTAGCCTGAACCTTCAGAAAAATTCTATAATGAAGCCTTCTCTTTATCAAATAACTGATGAAGCCACACGGTAATACTTTTTATAACTACATTAAATGCATATACTGAGAGAGGAGGAGGGGTAGTGCCAAGGGGAAGACAAAAAATACGTGGTACCTCTCTGTCCAAGAGGATGATAGTATTTATTTCAGGTACACCCATCTGCAGTGAAAGAACGAATTGGTATTATTTTGTGACAATGCATGGTGCCCATTATTTTTTTTATGTATGATATTGATCTAGTAGATTTAAGATTTTGAGTTACCTCAGATGTGTTCACAGGTTCTTCCAATTGCATCCGATTCAAAATGTCAGCAACACGAACTGATGCTTTTCCTTTGGCCCTCACATTTGGAATCACTCCAAAGGAAAACTACATTTCTCAGAAAACAAAAGGCTGTTAGCTAATGTTTATGCTGAACCTACTTTGCCCAAAAACAATGAAACCGATTCCAATAGTAGTTAGTTCTATCGAGTAAACATAAAAAGCACCTCGAGTTTATGGAGAGCTTTTGCTATGTGCCACAGGGAGGTAGTGTCCCCATCAACTAGGTACTCCTGTCATATAAATGTAACTATTTTTACATATGCCAATCTTTAGAAAAGTACATAACCTTTTCCTTGAATCAATGCAAGGAACAGACGTACTTTGTGAGCAACATCAAGTTCAAATGATAATACATCCTCATCCAGTGGAATAAGATAAAGGGGATACTCCCCTATAGTCAACAAGTGATGAACTTTTTCTTCCTCAAGTATCTGTCAAAAATTATATACAATTGTTAATGAGAAATACATGCCAAACTAAATTCTTAAAGAAGTTTATTAAGATTTTTTCAAAAAAAGGCTAACCTTCTCACATGCAACTGCACGACGAGGGACAAAATAAACAAAATACTCCCTTTGAATCCCTTTAGAAATATCATTATGGATGTGTGAGCAAATGAACTTCATCAAGTCAAGCTGAGCTCTGACTAGATAAACTACTTTCGTGCAATCAGTTTGAACTGGTTCCGCATTAAGATGCCTCAATTCGGCCCCATGCTCCTGTTTACAAGTGTAAAAACACAAAAAAAAAAAATAATAATAATAATAATAATAATTAGTGTGAAAAAGAACACAGTATCAACATGTTTGTTACCCAATACCACTGCAAAATAACAGTTCTCTTTAACTCAATATTTCATTTCTTTTAGAAACTCAAAAAATTAGGGAAATTTTCACCACGGAAACTTTCTTTTGCAAAGACAGCTAACATAAACTCTTTGCAAAAACTCAAAAATTCAGCTAAAAAATTAGTAAACTGAATACTCCCTCTATCCTAGTTTATGTGATAAGTATTACTTTTTTTAACCCATTCCACAAAAGAATGACAAAGACAATTAAATTCACATTTCCTATTTTACCCTTAATGAGAAGCTTTTGTAACCATAATGGGGGTGTTTACTGGAAACCGACCAAACCAAACTGAAAACCGACTCAAACCAAAGAAAAATTCAACATATTTTTGGTTTTGGTTTTGGTTTTAATTTTAAAAAACGACAAAAATTTTGGTTTGGTTTTGGTTTTAAGCAAAAAATAAACGGAAAAAACCAAACCAAACCAAACTAACTATGTAAATACCTATGTAGAAATTATAATTATACACATATATGTATATTTTTATATAAAAAAAATTAAAATGTGTCGGAACATATTAATCTTTTACACTCTTGGTTTGTAATCTAGTTCTTTGCCTTTATTTTCTAGTTTGATTTATTATCTATATTTAGATAAGTCCAAGAATCTATTTCATGTTAAGAACAACTTATCATTAATTGAGTCCTTCAATTATTCATTACTATTCAGTTCAATTATCATCAAGATGTCTTGGTAAATACAATTTTTCTTAAAGAATAATAGGCTTGGTAGTGTTATGCTAGAATATAATCGGTGGAATGTGTTTGACAGCGTATTTCACATACACTTCAAAAAAACAGACAAAAAAAACGAAAAAACCAACAAAACCGACTCAATTAAACTAGTTTGGTTCCAATATTTGAAAAACTGACATAATTGGTTTGGTTTTCAAGTTTTCTTTTAGGAGAAAACCAACCGAAACCGAACCATGAATCATACAAATGTTATAGAATATAATGCCACAAGTTTCAAAAGTCTTATACCCACACAAAATTATTACTCCCTCCATTCTACTTTATGTGATACACTTCCTCCATTCTATTTTATGTGATACACTTTTTTTAGTCTATCCCAAAATAATGATACATTTCTAAATTTAAAAATAATTTAACTATAAACTTCTCACTTTACAGTTTACCCTCAATGTAATGATTTGTTGTATACCACAAAATCAGAGAGAGAGAGAGAGTTGCCTTGAGAAGTGAGCTCTGTACAATAAGAGAGAGTGACCCGCCAAGCTTAGGATCAATTACCAAACACTTTTTCCCCCTAATCTGCAACTCCAAACAAAAAAATTCAATTAAAGTTTCAACTTTTCGGTTAAACTTTTCAAATATTAATAAAAAGGAAAATTTTAAAAATCCAAATTATATAAATAAACTCACGTTCTTCAAAACCGTAATAAGTTCTTTCAGCGATTGATCTCTGTAAGACAATTGAGAGAGAATGATCAATTGGGGATATACATATGCATAAGCATTAAAGTACATTATGTATAAGTATTTGTACCTTAGAGATTTCAGATTTATGGGAGCGTTATCCAAATTGGGAACTTGCGCCATATTTGATCGATCGATCTCTCGAGCTTTCTTTCCTGTCAGTAAAGTGTGAGCAAAGAGATGTTACGAGCACGACGATGATTGAGACATGCTTAATTCTCATCCAGTGAACTTGTGGAAATATAGTCCAAGTTGAATATGGCCTTTTCAAAATGGGCTATGTTGGGCTCTTAAATGGGGCTTTTTAGGAGTGAATCACACAAATAGCCGCTTTTTAAAATAGATTTTTTCCTTCATATACAATATTTGAAACTTATTTATCAAAATTGTCCAAATTTTGTATATTACCCGCCCTAAATAAATTTTTCTTATAATTTATATACAATCCATTATTAATGCCTTAAATTAGGGGATTCTTTGCTTGGAAAAGGGCGTAACTGAAGGGAACAACGTCCAAATTGTCCTTCCATCTAAATAAGACTCCTTCCAGTTGTGTGTTACCTATTTTAAGCCATAATTAGTGCAACTTCCTCTCTCTTTGCCATAATTATCTATTTAAAGAATAATGTATGGTACAACAAGATACAAATTAAAAATAAAATTCATACAAAATTTGATATATCTACAACATCATACATACTAAAAACAAATTTCATACAACTAATAATGCAGTATGCAACTTATTTATAACTTATCTGCAACTTTCATAGAGTATACTTACCCAGTTAAATACAACTACAATATCATACAACTTAAATACAATTTTCATAGAAATTTTATACAATATATCTTTTGTATATATTTTGTATGTGGTGTGTTCTGCTGCTTCTTCTTCGAATTCCAATCTAAAAATCCAGCCAAATCAAATCTAATCTTCGCCAAATATCCTACAAATCGAGATATAAACTCCATAGAATATTATTCTCAATCGTTTGCAATAACACCCAATCCAAACACATAATGTTTTTTGAAAAATCTGAATTTGAAATCAAGGCTTCAAAGCTTTTTTAATGATTGTCAATGGTGGAGAATCAAATAACTCCAAAATTTATTGATTAATATCCATATACTGCTAGCCCGATATCGGAACACCAACAAGAAAAGGGAAAGCCCAGAAAAGATCAAAACTCCAGCCATGGAAAATTTAGATAGATAAAAGATTAATCCCTTTCTTCGCCATCGTTAGAAAAAATATGAGCTTTAGAAGAAAAAACCTTCTAGAAAAAGGGTTGATTTCAAAGAGAGAAAGAGAAAAAAGGTATTGCGATTGTGGGATTTACTAAATTAATGGGGTACAATTAAGGGAGTCTCATTTAAAACTATTTTGTATATAATTGGTAAATTGTATATGACCATATAATTAAGTTATAACTTGATTAGGGAGGGTAAATAAGTTTCATATGTAGTATACATATGTAAAAACCCCTTTTTAAAATGACTTTTTTCAGAATTTACAAAGTTTTTAAAATTTAACGACGGTCTAAAGTAACCTTCAATTTGAAGAATGAAGTTTTAGGCGAAAAGCATGATGTTTGATTTTTGCAGTTAAAATATCAGACTATCTGGTATGAAGTAGGGATAGCAATGGGGTAGAGCAGGTGCGGCGCGAGGCAGGTTTTATTTGATGTGGGGCGGGGCGGGGCGGGGTGAGGCGATTTTACTCTTATGTGGGTGTGGGACGGGTTAAAACAGTTTTTAAAATTTTTAAAGCAGGCTGCAGGTTTAACACAGGTTCAATGCGGGGCAGCTTTGTCTTTTTTTGAAACAAGGCAATCACTTCAACTACAATTTTACATTCTTGTTTACTAGCAATTTAACTTTCGGTCTTTTCCTAGTAAGCATTCTTGTTTATTTATCTTGTAATTATTTTATTTTTAATCTTTTCATATTTGAAAACGATGATGGTTACTATTTTAGAGTGTTCATATCGAGAAACGTAGCAGTGAAATACATTATGAACCGTTAAAAATGGTTATAAAGCTTTTAAAATTTGTTTTATTTCAGCTTTATTTTGCAGAGTGTGGGGCAGAGTGTGGGACCGGGGTCAGGGGAGGGACGGGAGGCAGGGGAGGTAGAGGGGGCAAGGGAGCCTATAGGTTGAGAATCGGGTCATGGAACATAGGTTCACTAACGAGTAAGTCTATAGAGTTGGCGAAGATCCTTCAGAAGAGAGATTAATATAGCAGGTGTCCAAGAGACTAGGTGGGTTGGATCGAGGGCAAAAAATGCGGATGGGTATAAGTTATGGTACTCTGGAGTCCGGAGGGGTAAGAATGGAGTGGGTATCCTGGTAGATAACCATCTTGAGAGTCGGTGGTAGAGGTCAGGCGGGTGAATGATAGACTAATGACTATTAAATTGGTGGTGGGTGAGTATACTTTAAATGTCGTTAGCGCGTACGCGCCGCAAACAGGCTTAGATGAGGAGATTAAAAGGCGCTTTTGGGAGGGGTTGGATGACATCGTTCGTAATATTCCGCCTTCCGAGAGGTTATTCATAGGAGGAGATTTCAATGGTCATATTGGGTCGTCTACGGGTGGCTATACTGAGGTGCATGGCGGCTTTGGTTTCAGGGAGCGGAACGGAGGGGGCATTTCGCTGTTGGACTTTGCCAAGGCATTCGATCTAGTGATTGCAAACTCATGTTTTCCGAAACGGGAGGAGCATTTGGTTACTTACCAAAGTTCGATGGTGAAAACTCAGATTGACTATCTCCTCTTCAGGAGAGGCGACAGAAGGTTGTGCGAGGATTGCAAGGTTGTCCCAGGTAAGACCCTTGTAACGCAGCATAGGCTTTTGGTGATGGACATTGGTATTATGATAAGGAGGAAGAAGAGGTCAGTACGAGGCCGCCCGAGGATTAGGTGGGGCGCTTTGACTAAAGATAAAGCTCAGGAGTTGGAAGGAAGGTTATCGGTAATGGGAGCTTGGAGAAGTAGGGGGGACGCAAACACTATGTGGTCGACGACGGCGGACTGTATAAGGAAGGCGGCGAGAGAGGTGTTAGGGATATCTTCGGGCCGCACCGGTAGCCACAAAGGAGACTGGTGGTGGAATGCAGTTGTCCAAGGTAAAGNAAGTAGTGGGGACGCAAACACTATGTGGTCGATGATGGTTGATTATATAAGGAAGGCGGCGAGAGAGGTGTTAGGGATATCTTCGGGCCGCACCGGTAGCCACAAAGGAGACTGGTGGTGGAATGCAGTTGTCCAAGGTAAAGTGGAAGCAAAGAAGGCGGCTTACCTACGGTTAATAAGGAGCACCAGTGAGGAGGAGAAGAGAGCGAACAAGGAGAGGTATAAGGTAGCTAGGAAGGAGGCGAAGATGGCAGTAACGGAGACTAAGACAACAGCTTTTGCTCGTTTGTATGAGGAACTGGGGAACAAAGGCGGGGAGAAGAAGTTATTCCGACTCGCTAAGGTGAGAGAGAGGACGGCTCGGGATCTGGACCAAGTGAGGTGCATAAAAGATGATGACGGCAGAGTGTTGATGGGGGATGACCAGATTAAGAGGAGATGGCAGACCTACTTTCAAAAACTTCCAAATGAAGAAGGGGATCAGGATATTGTACTAGGTGATTTGAGGAAGGCCGACAATCCCCGTGGTTATTGTAGGGACATTGAGGTCGATGAGGTCATANCTAAGACTCAGGTTAGGATAGTAGGAGGCTACTCCAAGCACTTTCCGGTTGTTACGGGGTTACACCAAGGGTCTGCGTTCAGGCCTTTCCTATTTGCCCTGGTGATGGATGCACTAACTCATCATATTCAAGGGGAGGTGCCATGGTGCATGCTATTTGCTGATGACATAGTTCTAATTAACNTATTCAAGACTAATAGGATGCCTGAAGAGTGGAGGTGGAGTACAATGGTTCCGTTGTATAAGAATAAAGGTGATATCCAGAGCTGTAACAACTATAGAGGTATAAAATTACTGAGTCATACCATGAAAGTCTAGGAGAGAGTGGTAGAAATGAGAGTGCGAAGGACAATGTCTATTTCAGACAACCAGTTCGGGATCATGCCGGGGCGATCTACCACA